TTGAGCGGGGCGCATGTAGTCCAGCTACTCGGGAGGCTGAGGCAGAAGATGCGTGACTCAGGGAGGCGGAGCTTGCGGTGAACTAGAGATGGCGACCACTGCAACTCACTAGCCTGGGGTTGACAGAGCTAGGACTCGGTCTAAAAAAAAAAAAAAAAAAAAAAAAAAAAAAACAAAACGCTGGGTCATATGGTAATTAATTCTATGTTTAACTTATCGGGAAACCCTCAGATTCCATTTTAAATTGGGAATAATGATAGCACTTGCCTCATAACATCGCTGGGAAGCTTACTTGAGATAATGCAATAAAGCACTTAGAACAGTTATCTGGGCAGTATCTGGGCCAGGCATGGTGGCTTAGTCTGTGATCCCATCACTTGAGCTCAGGAGTTTCAGACTAGCCTGGCCAACATGGTGAAACCCCGTCTCTACTAAAAATACAAAAACCAGCTGGGCATAGTGGCACGTGCCTGTACTTCCAACTATTTGGGAGGCTGAAGCAGGAGAATAACTTGCACCTGGGAGGCGGAGGTTGCAGTGAGCCAAATTCACACCACTGCACTCTAGACTGGGCCACGGAGTAAGACTCTGTCTCGAAAAAAAAAAAAAAAAAAGAACAGTATCTGGCACGTAGTAAACACCCTATAATTATTAGTTGTTATTGGCTATAGATGGATGAATGAGTTTTAGATGGATGGATGGATAGATGGAAGGGATGGAGCTGAGCCTGGGGCCTGTTTTCACACTGCCTGTTACTGGGAATCAGATCAAATTCTACTGATTTTCAAATGAAACTCATTAGGCAACTTTTCACATTAGAATAGGTTATATTCAATAAATTGAGGAAGAGACATCTTATTTTTCTTTTCCCCAGCAACTTTTCTGAAAATAAAGGCTTTTGCTCTCCCCTGCACTTTTCACCCACCCACTCATCCGCCTCCCAGAGTCAGACATTCAGTCCATAGATATAACTCTTTTATTAATTTCCCTTGAAGACTGATGATTTTTTTCTAGTTTTGCCACATCTCATAGTTGACAAAACTACAATGTGGATTTAAGATCAGCAGCTTTTAACCACAAATATTAAAGCATTTAAAAAATAAGTTCAATTAGAGACAGTTCACATTGTACAAATCAACCTTATTGTAAATCTAAATATCATACATAATCACTTTATGAGGAAATATAATTCCACATTGTTAACAATACAACTGTATAAAAGGAGCTACAAAAATAAGGATTACATTTACCCTTATCTTGGGATTTCAACAGTTCCAGAAATTTTACAACTTCAGGACCACCATTTTAGGCATGTTAGTGCCTAAACATATTTGCTGTGCTGCAAAGATAGTTGACCCAATCGGTTTAGCCAAAACTCATTGCATGACTGCTTTCTGCCTTGCCTTGTGCCGTAAAGTAGACATGTAGTTCTAGCTACTTTAGGCTTTAGCACTAAATGAGCACACTGGTAGCAATTAGAAACATTTGGGGTTTTTTTATTTAACTTTTTTGAGACAAGGTCTCTCTCTGTCACGCAGGCTGTATTGCAGTGGCAGGATCACGGCTCATTGCAGCCTCTACCTCCCAGGCTCAAGTGAGCCTCCCACCTCAGCCTCCCAAGTAACTGGGACCACAAGCACACACGCCACCACACCCAGCTATTTTTTTCTATTTTGTTGAGATGGGATCTTCTTGTGTTACCCAGGTTAGTCTCAGACTCCTGGGCTCAAGCAATCCTCCCACCTCAGCCTCCCAAAGTGCTGGGATTAAAAGTGTGACCCACTGCACCCAGCCAACATTTTGGTTTTACCTCTCTTTTCAGTCAATTACTATCATCCTCCAACTTCCATACCTGTCCACCCTGTTTCCTGAGAACAGGGGCCTCTCTCTGATTTATCTTATCTCCAATACCTGGTGCTATAATGCTCACAGGTGCTCCTTCCAGTCTCTGACATTTCCCTATCTCTCCTACTCACATTTATCTTCTGCCCCACTCCTGAATTTCTGAGGAAATATTACCTATCATATTGGTAACAATGAAAAAGACTTAGGCCGGGCACGGTGGCTCATGCCTGTGATACCAGCACTTTGGGAGGCCTCAGGTGGATCACCTGAAGTCAGGAGTTCAAGACCAGCCTGGCCAATATGGTGAAACCCGTCTCCATTAAAAATACAAAAATTAGCTGGGCATGATGGCAAGCATCTGTAATCCCAGCTACTCATGAGGCTGAGGCAGGAGAATCACTTGAAACCAGGAGGCAGAGAGTTCAGTGAGCTGAGATCGTGCCATTGCACTCAACCCTGGGTGACAGGAGTGAAACTCCATCTCAAAAAAAAAGAAAACAAAAAAAGACTAATAATATCCCATATTTATGAGGTGTGTGGCAATGGGTGCAATGTATGAGGTATAAATTAATGCAGCCTTTTGGAAGGCAATTGGCCAATGTGTATAAACTATTAAAAGCATATACCTTACAACAGAACCATCCAACTTCTAGAAATCCACCCTTCAAAGGTATTTGAGCACATACACAAAGGTATATTACAAGGCTATTCATGCAAAACTATTCACAGCAGTGAAGGATTATAAACAACCTAGATGGACTTCAGTGGGGTTGCTGTATTTTCTAACAGTTCTAATTCTTGGGTAGTTCTTCTTTACACTGCTGGAATCTATTCACCAGCTCCTGTGTCCAAGGTTTCCCTCCCCGGGGCCTCACAAAGCAAATCTAATCGAAGGTCATGTTGTCATTAATTTTGTCCTTCCTTGGGCGTGGCCTGTATATAAACTCCATGGGCTCTATAGGTCAAACTTGGGATACAGCGTCTAGAAACACACTTCAGATTACCAGAATTTTTGGAAGCCCAATTGAATGGAGCAGGAGTCTCAAAGCAAAACAAGGATTACAACACACTCTAGTCTCAAATAAATATTCAAGCATCATCAGCTGTCCATTCTTTTACTTGGCACTTGAGTCCTCATTTATTGGGTGTCATTCACTGGGTGGAGATTTACTGCGCTGACTCTGCTTTCTTACTCACTAAGCAAACCTCCTACCTCTTATCTGCAGCAAGTTGCTGCCCACTGTTTTTTGAAAGGCCTCAAATACACAGATCAAAACTGGGTGGCACTGCTGTGAAAAGTTCTCATCCTACAGATAGGGAACGACTAGGTAGATTGTTAGAACGTCTCTAGCCTTCTGTTTAAAAATGGAAATGTTCCTTATGCACACCAAGAACCAAAACCCTTTCATGGGTTCTGAGAATTGGGGAGGGGGAAAAAAGAACCAAAAGGTAAGCAAAACCTTTCCTTCGTGGTTGCCAAGTATTCTTTTTTTAAACAAAAAAAGTTTTTAACTTTATTATCATTATTATTATTATCATCATCTTGAGATGGTGGCCTCCCCATGTTGTCCAGCTGGTCTCAAACCCTTGAATTCAAGGGATCCTCCCTGCTTGACCTCTCAAAGCATTGAGATTACAGGTGTGAGAGAGCCTGTAATCCACAAGTATTCTCAAGAGGAAACATAGAATGATCCCACCTGGTCACAAGTACTCTTAAAAGGAAACACAGGGCCAGGTGCGGTGGCTCGCGCCTGTAATCCCAGCACTTTGGGAGGCCAAGGTGGGTGGATCAGAAGGTGAGGAGATCAAGACCATCCTGGCTAACACAGTGAAACTCCGTCTCTATTAAAAATACAAAAAAATTAGCCAGGCTGGTGGCAGGCGCCTGTAGTCCCAGCTACTCGGGAGGCTGAGGCAGGAGAATGGCGTGAACCCAGGTGGCAGAGCTTGCAGTGAGCTGAGATCGCCCACTGCACTCCAGCCTGGGTGACAGAGCGAGACTCCGTCTCAAAAACAAAAAAAAAAAGGAAACATAGAAAGAACTTTCCTACTTCCTGACTTTGCCTGGAATAAGCATTACTTGTTAACAATCACAGAGCCAGTGTGTTGGCCAAAGACTTGAAAGGGCAGGACTGTGCTCATTTACTCAGGACAGTTGACTACCTTTAAAAAAAAAAATCTGTTGAAAAGACATTTCT